ATGGCTTTTCACCCGTGACCCATCTCGAAAGGGTTAATAAATTAAAAATCTAATATGACACACCTTTAATCCACAAAATGTCCTTTTATATTTTTTCTGTCAACCATATTTTTACTATTTCACTGGTTATCCAGTACTTAATATATATTAAAAAACTAAGCTGGTACAAAATTAAATTTAAAGAAACCTTACCTGTATTGTATTTTTCAAAAAAAAAGTATAAGAAGAGTCATAAAACAGGGTTAAATCACCCATTTGCTATATTATGATGATCACTCAGGTCAGAGTACAACCAAATGTTATTCTCAATTCATAATCTAATTAAACTTAACCTGAAGGTCACTTATGACTGAATCCGTCAAGCAATTCTTCATGCACTGATAGTTCTTTTGAACTTTATATCAAATTAATTTTTGATTTCACAATATAACCTTAAATGTTTATCTAAAAACCTCTAAAACCAAAGTAAATTGATTAATAAATTTAATCAATTATTAGATGTAACTTCTAGTAACAGTACATATTCACTAAAAATACCAATTTAAAGTGAAAGATTACCCAGTGGTAACAGTAACTGATATATTCTTATTACCTGTACTACCATTTTATAATACATGCTTTAAAAAAACTTAAATCACATTCTTACACACACACAATAATTCCTTAACATTGCACTAGAATTTTACCATACTACTGAAACTATTAGTACCTCTAATACAGTAGCCTGTAGCTCCTCTGAGAAAGCTAACCGTTTAGCCATTATTGTCTGAGTCAGCTCCACTATGAGACCAATGAGGTTGCCCATACCATCCCCTGATATAGCAGAGGTAGGAACCATTGAAATAAAGGTTCTAGTGTCCTTATTTTCATAATACAAAGATGCATTGAGACCCTGCAAAAGCATAAAGAAAAAAAATAGAAGGTTAAATAAGCTCTTGTCATCATGTTGTTATTAATGTTTTTAATTCAGAGTAGAACTTTAGTTTGTTTTCCTCATTTATACATGTATAATTTTTCTGAAAGGATTTATTAACTCAGATGCCAATTCTTAACGTGTTTATATTAGTCAGATCGATTATATAAAAAAATCAGATATTACCAGAGAAATCAGAAAACAACTGATGATAAATAGAGCATTTTACCAAACAAAAAAATTATCACACCACCAAAAATTAGTCTTCTGTAAGTTATTTACATTTTACTTTGAATTTTAATTTTTCCTTAGATTTCATTTCAAACAAAATGTCCTAAAAAGAAATAATTTACAAATGCAACATCTTGATATTAAAGTAGAAATAACAAGAGCAATATCTTATGCAAGTTTCAACTCTAACTTGTTCTTCATTCTCTGCTTGCACTTCTCTTTGACAACTGCAAGTTTCTTTGTTTTTACCTTTTAAACTTATACTAAAGTACACTGTTTGTAAAAATCAATATAATCAAATTTACAGCTAGTTTTTAAATTTTTCATATTCAAAAGAAATACAAATATGTGATATGTAGATATTACGCATCCCACATTCTCATACGTATTTTCTGAGAGATCTAGTTCACTATATGATAAATTTTGATTTGATCACTGCTACTTCAGCCCTAGATGTTATTTTCTACAGTGAGTAGATCTAGGATGTTATCTGCAAATCACTTGCTATTTCAGCCCTAGCTGTTATTTTCAACAGTGAGTAGATCTAGGATGTTACTGCAAATCACATGCTATTTCAGCCCTAGATGTTATTTTCTAAAGTGAGTTGATCTTGGATGTTATCTGCTGTTTTATGAGAAAGCTTTACTGAAACAATTTCATCTACATCAGTTTTAAACTTAAATTTTAATTCAGCTTTCAGTTTGTTGAACCAATTTTCTACTAAATACAGTTTTCTTATATTTGTTCCATTTTAATCAGTTTGGTTTATTCAGCTTCATTTTGATATTCCTTTGATGTAACAATTAGCCATTGTCAAAAGTAAAAGTTTAATAAATACATTGCACACTTTTGTTTCTATTCATATCAAGTCTTAAAATACTTTATAAAACTGCTGACAAACTGCTACACTTTTCTTTCCACATACTAGTTCTGATAGCCTGTTCTTGTTATGGTCAACAAGAAATTGTGTTTTTAGCTGTCTCAAACCCTAGAATATATTGGATAACTTCAATCACACTGCATTATGGTGTCAGTGAACAGGATCTAGTAAATATGAAGATGGTAGAGGTTTTTGGCATTGATTTCTCTGAAGTATCCCTCTCCTATGCTTTCAGTGAGCTACAATCTGAGAGAACAGCCATACTGATCTGCAAGTAAGTTCAAGAGGGTTACTGATTTACTCATAGAAGTTCCCTGTTATATTCAGTTCTGACATTCATTCCAGAGTTATATGTTTGGTAACTCATCAAAATGCTGAACCATAACCTGGTCCTTTCAGAGTCACTAATAATGTCATCCTTTCTCATCACAAAGCTAGAAGAAAGCTGCCATAAAGAGGTGATCATGATCTGCAAGCACACTTGGACCTCGTGCCAAGATTTACACACATCCGTAGCTGGGAAGCCATGGTGGTAGAGAAACATTCTTGCTTAGATCCAGTACAGAACAGACCTATTTAGTAAACAAACCTGAAATGTTTCATTAATAAAATGTTTCTCAAACATGACTTCAGTTTTA